CCACATCCACACCAATACCCACTCCACCCACCAACACGCTCCACACTCACGCTCACATCGGTCCTACACCCACAAGCATACCTACCTACACCCACCCACACCCACACCCACACTCCACCCACACCCACACCCACACCCACACTCCACCCACACCCACACCACACGCCTCACACCCGCACCCACCCTTTTTATTTTTCATTGCTGTAGGGCGTCGCTGAAAAATAAAGTCCTGTTGTGTGGATGATGATTGTTTTTTTCTTCTACTGTCAATCTATGAATTTCTTATTGTAGTTTGATCGTTGATAAATGTCGACGACAAGTGAAGAAGAAGAAACGTGGCGTCGTGCTAGCCGGAGGTTTGTATTGATCACACTGGAAATATTGAAATGGTTTTTTGAAGATTTCTTCGATAAAGATGAGTGATTAAGCTTAATTTTTAAGTTGGTCAAACTTAGAAAAGTTGAAATGAAAATTACACTTAGTTTTTTTCGTATAAAAAAGAATATATATATATGTATCTCCAGTAAGTTTCGAACGCATTTAAACACAAACGAATCTCAGTAAAATACGCTTGTGCTCAATCTTACTGACATCTTAGGAAACAGAAAAACATTTAACAATAAACACATTTATCGAAAGACTTCGATACATTCGAACGCATTGAATTTGGAGTTACGTTTCTTGCACTACTTCAACAAGTTCTTCATTCTCTTTTCTTCAAAGAACCTTTCCATGCATATCATTAGTTAAATTATACGAATGAAATTATCACCAGACTGGTGTATTTGCATTTTAGACTCATCTAAAGACTTGTTCCATTTACAAGTGAACGAGATTTATCGAAATCCACATTATAATCTTGAAATTTTGTACAACATCAACTATGGTTACAAAAATTATGCTTTGGACTTTGTTAAAGCGAAGAATTCTGTTGGACAGAACTCGTTCAGTTGTAGTTTTAACAAGTCTTTGTGTGAATCTAGATTGAAAATACCCGAGTCCGATGATCATTTCACGCGCTTTATTTCATTAATAATACAGGTAGAAAGAATTTTTCAGGAAAAGAGAGTGAACGGTTCATTGAAGAATAGTAAAGAACGTAACTCTAAATTCAATACGTTCGAATATGTCGAAATTCTTGGATAATTGCGTATTCTTTGTTGAATATTATTCTTCTTGTTAGGACCTAAGTGGGATTAGATGGGAGGGTATTTTACTAATACCTAAAACAAGTGGTCTAATTGATCTGTTCACATTTACTGCCGAATGTTACCTGTAAAGCTCGAAGGATATCGTCATTGGATGCCAATTAGAATTGCTTTTCAGATTAGTTTTAGTATTGTTTATTCTGATTCTCTGGTGATTCATATAAGAGTCTATCATCATCAATTCTCATCATGTGTCTTGTCTACAAACAAGTTGTTTTTTTAGAATGTGTTCGTTAGAATTCAAAGGCCTCTCTTCACCAGTCATCCATCAAGATAATAAGTGGCCTAAGGAGGTTAGAAGTCGTGATCCAAGAAAACCAACAATTGAAATCGAGAGCATTCACATACATCATACTTCTCATATTTTTGACTCAGAAAAAGACTTTGTCGGCCTTATAGTTTATTTATTGGATGGCAAAAACAATTTCCAACTAAACAATGTACATTGTCAAACTGGCGACATTTATATCAAACAATCGGATTGGATCTTGGAAAATACACCAGAGAGACGAGAACGCAGAAAATATCTTCATGGTAGACTATTCTATTCGATATTTGGTCGTTGGAAAAAGAAGAAATTGAATTTTGTTGGTAGTGGTTTCTCATATCTTGATGGCGACTGGAAATTTAATTCTGGAACATTAAACACCATGAATCCAAACAATAACGATGATACATATCATGATACCGATCGAGGGATGCATATTTTTGAACAGAGATTTATTCTAACAATGTGTCGTTATTTCTATAAAAATCATAAGTGGCTTGTAATGGCACCCAACGAACGGATACCTATTTCTGTCTTGGAATGTTTGGGAAGACATAACGACAACTTTGAAGTGAATCCAGCGAGACGACTACGTGGAAAAATAAGATGGTTCAATTGGCAGAAAGGTTATGGATTCATTGATGTTGATGGCTTTCCAGAGGATATTTTCGTGCATCACTCCGACATAGTTGATGAACCATCCGGACAAGCTATTTTAGAGGAGGGTCAAGATGTTGAATTTAATGTCGTCCAAACCAATCGGGGATGGCAAGCTCGAAATCTCACCACAATTGAAAACTAACACTATCAAAAAAGAAATAAAATTATTATATGATATTTAGTCGTCTGAGGGTGTGGGTGTGGGTATAGAGTGTGGATGTGGGTGGGTGTGGGTGTGGGTGGGTGGGTGTGGGTGGTTGGGTGGGTGTGGGGCGTGGGGCGTGGGTATGGGTGGGTGTGAGTGTGGCTGTGGGTGGGTATGGGTGTGGGTGGGTATGGGTGTGGGTGGGTATGGGTGTGGGTGGGTGTGGGTGTGAGTGTGTGTGTGGGTGCCGGTGTTGGTATTCTCATCTCTAACACCCACACCCATTGAATAAAGACTCACACATTCTCATTTTTTGCTTCGTGAAGTATAGTCACATTTTTCTTTTTTGTTATCGTTACATTCTTTGTGCATCTGCCTCTCTAAGTCGATACGAGAGTACTGATGGCAGAGGCAATTAATATTGATCCTAGTGAGGATCTTCAGTCTGGAAAGGAATATGAGACACTGGAACAAGGTTCTATATCAAATGTTCAAGTTGAACTTATATCAAGATTTTTTTCGGAGTGTCCACAAGCAGCTTTAAATGTACACAAGTACCTGCAGAAAAATTATTCAAAGTCAAATCAGCAACAACAACAACTCATGCAACCAGTGAATTCAACACCGAAACGCGGTCATCCACTAGATGAAAGCGGAGGTTCGATCAGCAACGGAAGAGATCTCCGTAAATATCCTCGAAGGGGTATTGACAATAATGCACATAAGCACTCACATAATGTACAATCAGAAATTAATTTACAAACACAGCAACCATCGTCTTCGATGTTGTCAGATGTAAGACAACATCAAGAGATAAATCAAGATAATACGAATCGTAAACGAATTTCTTTTAATCAACTGAAGCACGCGGTATCGTCTAATTTACCATGTTTCTTTATTGAATTCACCTCGGATGCGGATCGTAATAGTATTCCAACAGCTCTTCATGCAAGTGATCTTATACTGAAAGAACTGCAAACCAATGGTGTTTTAATCAATAGATTTACATTAGTAGGATGGACAGGAAAAAAGCTAAAGTTAGGTGTTAATAATAAAGAAGATTACGCTACTCTCGTCAGTTCGGATAAATGGCCAACAAAGATAAATGGAATTGATATTGTGGTCGTGAAACCAAAATATATACCAGATTCATTCACTCTCGTCGTCCGTTATGTACCTAGGGAATTAGATGAAAATTTTGTTTCAAATGAAATTCAGCGAACAATTGCTTCTGCAGATCGTATTAAACGTATTCATTATTCATACCAAAGAAGCACAGATGATTATCGATTCGAAGTGAAAGATTATCGTGAATATAATGCTGTGTTGCAACTGGGTCGAATTGCAATAGGTCATTCGTGGTTATCGATCACCAAGTTTTATCCGGGAAATCGTTTAACGTACTGCACGAAATGTTGGCGTATTGGTCATTTAAGGAACAAATGCAGCTCAGAAAGCAAATGTCGTATTTGTCTTGAAAGTCTGAATGTCAATACTCCTCATATGTGTAAAAATGTACCGAAATGTGCTCAATGTGATGGAGATCATCATTCGTTGGATAGTCAATGTCAAGTTTTAAAAGAATATAAAGATCAATTAAAGGAAGATGTCGAAGATGCCATACAAAAAGGACTATTACAGCGATTCTCACCGCAAGAGAAAGCATCTACAGTTGAACGTCGAGAGCAAGACTTTCCGCCATTAGCAGCAAGTGATAATCATTCCAATAAAAAATGGAATACTGCGCTGCCACGTACAACTGTTGAGTCGAATGACTTACGAGCATCATATACTGATAAAACAATTGAATCCATCAATGATAATCTGACAAAACTAATCGATAGTAACAAACGGCTTGAAAATAAAGTTGATCTAGTATCATCAAGTATAAAAACCGTTACTCTTGATATTCAGCTACATCAAGCAGTCTTAGCAGATACTATCAATATTATGAAAGACTTCATGCAATATGTTATACCAGCATCGTTAACTGCTAGCAAAGTTGAAAGATCATCGTTGGTACAAGTCACGAGCGAATACTACAAGCGCCTTCATGTCGCGTCCTCAAGATTAATAAATGGTTTCCAATTAAATCAATTAAATCAGCAAGTTGAACTGTTTGTGCATAATACTAATATTGATCAACACTCTGCATCAGTTCACAAATCTTCACAGAATGATAAGTAGAACGTCAGATCTTAATGTACACGCTAAAGTTTTCTTTCCTGCTTCAGAGAATTATCCATTTAGTCCTATAGATGAAGCTACGCACCGGCTGAAAACTTGGAATTTTGCACCTAAAGATCAGAAATTAGTATTATCTCTTTTAGATGAATGGTACACGGGTAGAACCTTGAACACAGTCTTAGAACAATGGGGAAATGTTGGAATAGCTCCTTCACAAACCCAAAAAGAACATATTAAGATCCTATGTTATAATGTCGAAGGTTGGGGTACGCGTGCGCTTGAAGCTATTGATTTAGTGTATCAAATTCAAGCTTCTATTGGTATATTTACTGAAGTTGGTGAGTTATGGAACATGAGCCGATTACCACATTTTAACACGTTCTATCAAAAGGGAACTAACAAGAATGGAGGAGTATGTATAGCAGTAGGGAAGCATCTGAAAGCGATGCGCATCGAGGTTAACATTCCGAGCACAGTTGTCATTGATATAACAGGTCTATCAGAACCAGTACGTATCATTGGTATTTACTGGCCCACTAGTCAAGAGCGTGATCTTGATGATATCTTGCCTTATGTCGTAGAAGGTACCATACTATCAGGTGACTTTAATGCAACAGTCAAGGAATGGAATAGTCCAATAACTGATAGAAGAGGTGCGCACGTGAAAGAATGGATTAATGAAAATAATCTCAATTATATTCCATCAACGTCCAACTCATCTAAGCGCTCTCTACGTAATATAGATTTGTCGTTCTCTAATATGAGTACTATTTCAAGCGAAACATTGTTTTTTGGCACTAGCGATCATTGGCCGATTGTGTTAACGTGTGAGAACATTTTTTTCGATATAAACAGTTTTTTTCCTCATACAAATTGGAAGGCATTTGAAGCAGTAATAACGCTATTACAAACATTCTGGATGAGAGAACAAAAGAAAAATAGTGCTGATGAGTGGTACAAACAATATATTCGTTTCATCGCGGCTGTCAAAAATAGAGTGACTCATTGGAAAGAGAGAGATAAATATAAACCATCATTACCGAAGTATATCATCGAAAAATTAAAAGAAATACGAAAAGTGAGAAATAGATATTATCATTTAAGACATAAGGGAGTTTTTAATGAGGAAGCGAGGGTGCTATTACGTACAATGACGAGAGAGACCAAAGTTGAAGTTGCTAAATACAAAAATGCTCAATGGCAAAATTTTTTGGTTAACATTCAAACGTCTTACGATAAATCAGATAAAGCGTTTTGGACACACTTATCTCGCATTCACAAATCGCGTACGCTGCCTTTTTATAAACTTTCGGATGGCTCTAAAATAATATCAACTCAACAAGAAATCACAAACGAACTATATCAGTATTACAGTGAACAGTTTAAAGCTTCTGCTCTGGATTGTTATAGTGTACATGAAACTCAGTTAGACATGGAATATAAAGAGTTGCTAAATAAATTATTAGTATCAAAAGATAAAGTCGAAAAAACTAGTGTTTGGGAAATCTCACGATTAATCAAAACGTTAAAGCCAAAGAAGTCAGCAGGTTTTGATTTGGTGTCAAACTTCATAATTAAAAAACTTCCTCCAAGTTACATCGAGTGCTTAGCAAATTGCTTTAATGTATGGTTAAACGAGTGTCGTTATCCAGATGACTGGAAAATTGCTAAAATTATAACCTTAAATAAGTTGAAATCGGGTATCCCAAAGTGTGAACAAACTCGTCCGATATCCTTGTTAGCTACACATTCTAAGCTGTTCGAAAAAGTGCTCTTACTAAGAATTAGACACTGGGCTGAAACAAATCGTTTAGTACCCGTAGAACAATCGGGGTTCCGTCCAAAATGTCTTCTACCTACTCGCGTTCTGTCAATATATCAGGAAGTCAAAAATAACATGGCAGCCAATATTCCGACACTAGCGCTTTATGTCGATTATCAAAAGGTTTATGATCGTGTATGGCATGCCGCTCTTCTGTATAAACTAGATAGACTGGGTATGCCTCTCAACTTATTGAAAATGATTTATAGTTGGTTAAAAGATAGAAGAGCTTACGTAGAATATGGTGAAATAACTTCGAAAATATTTAAGATACATATAGGACTTCCACAGGGCAGTAGTCTTAGTCCATACTTATTTATAGTGTTTCATTCAGATCTAACAAATTACCTGGGAGCTCATTCATGTCATCTATTTGCAGATGATCTTTGTGTATTAATTAGTCCTCCCATTATGAGAAACTTAGACCCGATGATTGAATACTTAGAAAAAGAAGGTACACGAATTTGTAATCAGGTTCTTATATATTCAAAAAAGTGGAAACAACCGTTAAATATTTCGAAAACTGTAGTACAACTTTTTCATACACAAGTAAAAAGACCGATAGTAAATATAACGATAGACGGAAACAAAATCGAATTAGTTAGAGAATTCAAATACCTAGGTTTTACCTGGACGGATAAACTATCGTTGAAACCAACAATCGAAAAAGCGATAGGAAATATTCAGAGATCGCTAGGAAAACTAAAATGGATGAAATCTGGTCGCGAAATGTCATGTAAAGCTCTCCGGCAATGTTTTTTCGCATTCACGTTCCCTCATTTCGCTTGGCTGTTTCCACTTTTTCCAATCCTCTCAGAATCTCAACAAAATATATTGCAACAAAAATTCCGTGTCGGACTTCGGCTGGTGCATCGCTGCCCCTTCGTTTCTGCTCATAATCTTTTCAATATTACCTCAGAACAACCCTTAGAATTTTATGTTAAAAAATATATTCAACGAAGACTAAAGACCATTTGCACAACTGATCTTGGTTCTTCATTGTTCTATGAAGATATTTTTGGGTGGGATAACTTTTATAAAAGAAAAAACGATCATCTTGGGCATTTTTTTTGTTTACGTCATGTTCGGCAATTGAAAGATCGACACGAGTCTTCTCTTTTAAAATGGT